TTAGGAGTTGAGAATAGGTGAGGCCATTTCGGCCCCAAGACTCTAATCATCGCTCTACCGGATGCTACTGGTGGTACTCCATTGGTGCCAGCTATCGAGGGAAACTTCGGAAGAAACCAGCTACTAGACGGTTCGATTAGTCTTTCGCCCCTAAACCCGGGATCTGACGATCGATTTGCACGTCAGAATCGCTACAGACCTCCACCAGAGTTTCCTCTGGCTTCATCTTGTCCGGGCTTAGTTCACCATCTTTCGGGTACTAACATATATACTAGTGCTCCGCGAAAATCTCGGTAAAGTGGATATATCACGGGCTGATATTGCGGTATACTCTTACAAGCATACATCATATCAATTTCTTTCAATTCGCCTTTCAAGCCTAAACAAGACTGATCAGCTTGCATACATGTTAGACTCCTTGGTCCGTGTTTCAAGACGGGTCGGATAGAGTACCGATCTACTGACCACAGAATCACTAGGTTAACGTAAGCTTGCCACTTTTACCAACAAACCACCAAAAGCCAGCCAATCCATGAGTTGTTTCAACACCAGGTGAAGAAACAGACATCATCAACGAAAGACTAGTCGGATTCGTCAGAGCAGATGACAAGCATTGTTGACCCTGCATAAGCAGAGATTCATCTCCAATGTGACTGTGGTAACAGTTGCCAACACTAGCTCACAGGCTAAGTCTAATAACGCAAGGAATATTAGTAGCTGTGAAAACTAAATGCTGATTAGGTGTGTGTTTAGTACACCTTGCTGTTATCACTTGAACAAGAGTTTTGCACTCTCCTTCACATTGGTCGTGGTTTGAGCACGAGAGTTGAGAAAATGCACTCCTCATGCACATATTGCACTCCTCCTATCAATACCAAGATCCAAGGGCAGGCTAAAAGTTACCCCTTAACCTACTGATCTTGGAACGCTGTAAAGCATTCTTAGCACTGAATAGAAAAAGGCAACAATACACAAGAGAAGCTGAGTTCTCCTCTCAGCTACACTTCGTGGTTCTATCCGTTTCTCTACAAGCGGTTTCACGTCCTTTTGAACTCTCTCTTCAAAGTACTTTGCAACTTTCCCTCACGGTACTTGTTTGCTATCGATATTACCATCGTATTTAGTCTTAGGAGGAGTTTACCTCCTAATTTGGATTGCACTCTCAAGCAATCTGACTCTATCCGCGACTAAAGCCAGTAATCGATATTCCATTAACCAAGATCTGCCACCGGCCTAGAACCGTCTCTGGGAAGAGGGCCCTTGTCAGAGGGACTTGCAGATTTAGTTGAAATAATCGTGACTCTAGCCATTACGCAGCACCGCTTTCCACCTTTCAATGGAAAACCTTTGCGCCGGACTCATCCCTTTTCACTCGCCGTTACTCAGGGAATCTCATTTGATTTCTTTTCCTCCGCTGAATTATATGCTTAAATTCGGCGGGTAACCTCACCTGATCTGAGATCAAAAATATTGATTAAGTTGATTAATGTTTATTTGTGTTGTTTGCAAGCAAGCAACGTAAATCTACTTTAATGTTTGCACAAATTTTGCCTTTGCATTACTTCTTAGGTCTGCTTTAACAGCATGAAATAGCTACTATTTGTACGATTTATACAAGTGCAAGAAGATTCATCAGTTAACAGGTTAGTTGATCACCATAGTTATCTGCAATACGACTTTAGCGTCGTCAGATAGGCGACTAACCTTAGAATCTCATGCTAGTATCTATTCATATATACTGCTTGCAGAGATGAAATATGCATTGTACACAAAATTTATCATGTGAAACAAGTAGATTTGAGATTCTCCTTACTAAATTGCAACGAATTGCAATTAAGAAAAGGAATAAAACATCAAGATTCATGCATATAAATATACAATCCTCTCAAAACAATGCATATATGGTAGTATGCAAGTGTTTTGTTGATTATTTTACATCTCAACTCTCAGACAGATGTGACCTCGGAAAGACCCGAAAGCCGCAATGTGCGTTGGAAGCTCAAGTGCTCGGCGTGTCCTGCAATTCGCACCGATATCGTAGCTAGCTACGTTCTTCATCGATTGGTAATTCGAGTGATCCACCGCTTGAAGATGTATCTTTGCCACCGTGGGACTTTTAATAAGTATCCTAAATCTGCATTGAGAGGGTTTGAAAACAATTGTATGCAGTTTATAAAAACCATAGTTGTCTTTACTTAGTTAGGCGAAGAAGTGTAAAACTTCCTTCTTTAAACCTTGCCGTCAGCATAAGCTGAAGACTTGAACAGGTACCAAGTATGTAGCAAGACAGGCTTTTCATTATAAACTACAATTGTTTTGCAAAAGAAATTATGGCTATCGTTAGATAACCCTCACTCTTTGTTGCATTGGATAATGAAAGATGGATGTATGAATGAACGAATGTAATGCAAGTTAGAATCATGTTGCAATGGCTAAATGTTTGCATTAAACATTCACAATTGCGACTCTAATGCAAATACAATTCAATTGCATTCACCATATTAGCATCTACAATATCACTATGCAGAGTGTTTGATTGTTTGAAGGTTGTATTTCTCTTATAATAAGAGGGTAATACGTTAATGATCCTTCCGCAGGTTCACCTACGGAAACCTTGTTACGACTTTTACTTCCTCTAAATGATCAAGTTTGAACATCTTTCCAGCACAATCCGACCACTAGTTTCCCAATGGTCTGGATTGACCAGTCCGAAGTCCTCACTAAATCATTCAATCGGTAGTAGCGACGGGCGGTGTGTACAAAGGGCAGGGACGTAATCAACGCAAGCTAATGACTCACGCTTACTGGGAATTCCTCGTTCATGGGCAATAATTACAATGCCCAATCCCCATCACGAAATGGGTTCAAGCGGTTACCCACTCCTTTCGGAGCAGGAACAGTATGCACGATGACCACTTCAGTGTAGCACGCGTGCGGCCCCGGACATCTAAGGGCATCACAGACCTGTTATTGCTCTGTTTCGTGCGGCTGCGAGCGCCGCTTGTCCCTCTAAGAAGTCCTTACAGTGCTACAGCATCCTTACCCTAGCCAATTCTGTAGGCTAATAGCAGCAGAGCCCTCAACAGCCGAAACCATCAAGAGATACTACCACCCACAGGTTGACTAAGGGGGAGTACTGCAGTGTAAACTGCAAGTCTATTTAGTAGGCTAGAGTCTCGTTCGTTATCGGAATTAACCAGACAAATCACTCCACCAACTAAGAACGGCCATGCACCACCACCCACTGAATCAAGAAAGAGCTCTCAATCTGTCAATCCTCTCAGTGTCCGGGCCGGGTGAGTTTTCCCGTGTTGAGTCAATTAAGCCGCAAGCTCCACTCCTGGTGGTGCCCTTCCGTCAATTCCTTTAAGTTTCAGCTTTGCACCATACTTCCCCCGGAACCCAAAAACTTTGGTTTCCCGGAAGCTTCCATTCGAGTCATGAAATTAGTTACTCAGAATGATCGCTGGTTGGCATCGTTTATGGTTAGAACTAGGGCGGTATCTGATCGCCTTCGAACCTCTAACTTTCGTTCTTGATTAATGAAAACATTCTTGGCAAATGCTTTCGCTGTAGTTTGTCTTGCGACGGTCCAAGAATTTCACCTCTAGCGCCGCAATACAAATGCCCCCGTCTGTCCCTCTTAATCATTACCTTGGATTCTTAAGACCAACAAAATAGAACCAAGGTCCTATTCCATTATTCCATGCAGATCATTCAAGTTAAGGTAGTGGTACGCATCATATAGATGGTTGACCATACCGTTTTTAGGCACCTCTTTCGAGGTTTTGGACGCCTGCTTTGAGCACTCTGATTTTTTCAAGGTAAAAGTCTCGATCGCTTGAATCAACACTCGGTAAAGAGCATTGATAGCAAATATCGAGCAATTTTCTGTCTAAACACTATGAATGTAACCACCAGGAAAGAGGAATGAAGGTTCAAGCTAGCATCCGTAGACACAAGCAAGAAACCTAACATCACCATCTAACCCTTTAATCAGTGGACCCCATAGGTTCGACTGAAATCCAACTACGAGCTTTTTAACCGCAGCAACTTTAATATACGCTATTGGAGCTGGAATTACCGCGGCTGCTGGCACCAGACTTGCCCTCCAATAGATCCTCGTTAAAGGATTTAAATTGTACTCATTCCAATTACGGGGCCTCAATAGAGTCCCGTATTGTTATTTTTCGTCACTACATCCCCGTACTGGGATTGTGTAATTTGCGCGCCTGCTGCCTTCCTTAGAATTTACAAAATAAAATAATTTTGAAATCGGAATCGAACCCTAATTCCCCGTTACCCGTTACAACCATGGTAGGCGCATAACCTACCATCGACAGTTGATAAGGCAGTTGCTTGAGGGATACATCGTCGGCTCAGAGGCCATACGATTTGCTCAGTTATTCAGAGTCATCACAAGAAATGCAACCGAAGTTGCTAAGATCCCCACTGCTAGTCCTTAGACAGCGACCGAAATCACTGAACAGGGTTCTAGGTGAATAAGAATCATTGGTCTTGTACTAATAAATGCGATCCTTCCGTCAGCAAGCTGAGGTTGGAACACTTGTTCATGTATTAGCTCTAGAATTACCACAGTTATCCATGTAAAAAAGAATATCCGAGGAACCGTAACTGATTTAATGAGCCATTCGCGGTTTCACTTTATAAACAGTATGTACTTAGACATGCATGGCTTAATCTTTGAGACAAGCATATGACTACTGGCAGGATCAACCAGGTAACTTGATGTTTTAGCAAAGTAAAATGCTAAACAAGTTGTTTTGCAGCTATAAATACGATATCCTCAGCTAACAACCAGCAAGTGGATGCTAACTTTAACGAGGTATCGAGATTTATGTCGTGCATTAAGATGATTCCGCAGAAATCTCTTTAGAATCCATCTTCTTCCACTAAAATGTGCAAGCACATCTAGCAGGAGTAACCATTGCTGGGTACGTTTGCAAGTCAACTAAACAGCATAGTATTATAACCGCTTGATACCAATTTCTTGGATCAATTTGCGGTCTGCTTTGCACAAGCAGAGCTCAATACTAATACTGCTCACTCTGTTGAGTGACTAGTTTGAACATATATGCAAGATATGAAGTCTGATAGCATTAAAGCCCAACTCTCATAGATATTGTCAGTCGTACCAAGGAAGACCTTAGGTCTTGCAGGTACTCTACCTTTGTATAATAGTGTGTGGTGATAAGATGATTGACGATCCAAACCCATTCAGGCCCGTCTCTTCAACCACCAAACATCAACAGAATAACAGGAATAGATGCGTGAACAGCTACAGTCTGGACCATACCACTGCTTGATGCATTGACTTATCCATAACCGTAGACAATCACTTACCTCCCCATCAACTACTGATGGTTGCTTCTCTCAATTCAGCAACTACACTCACCACATATTGTTGGTTGTATACGCACTCCGGACCCAATTTTTCGAAATTCTCGATGAAAGAAACCCCCTAAACAACTCAATGAGAGTTCTTCAACGACTTTCTAAAATCAAACAAAACTTAAAGTATTGAAAATAGACAAAAATCTCTTGCACCCAGCAAGGTAAACAGAAAGTGTTGGAACACAACAAGCAAAGTATAAATCAATCAAATACAATAAAGAGATACGTTTAATATGTTTATTTCAACTAAAGAAAAGTTTTGAAAAGTCATACATTATAAACGGACATGAGTGAGCCAAAAGTGTTGCTCACTGAGTCCTCGTAAGGTCAAGGTTTACAAGTGTGAAAAACAAGTTCGCGCCCTCAGGCAAGTAAGGTTTACAATGTTTTCAGTTGAGAAAGGGATTAGGTATACATAGAAATGGAATTAGGGACATTTGAAGTGTTTAGGAAATTTCACCCATAGAGTTGTATGGTAAAATATCGAAAATTATTAAAGTTATTTTTAAGGTTGTTTTTGTGTTTGGTTAGCTTCAGGAGGATGAAAGAAGTGTTTTAAAAGTGTTTTCATAACTCTAGGATGAATAGGGACAAAGTTATTAAAGTTTGGATTTCTTTCATCGAGAATTTCGAAAAATTGGGTCCGGAGTGCGTATACAACCAACACTCCCCCTTGCTAAACACTTCAAATGGAACAATACGTGGGTATAATGGGTTACAATGGTAATTAGCAAAGAAAAAGAAGTTATGCTGAAGAAAAGAAGTACAAAAAATCAAATGTTTAAAGTTTGCGTTGAATGTTATTAAGCTTAGGATGTCGTGTGTAAGACAGTGGCTTTAGAATATGTTGAGGTATTCTTTGCATTTAATCAATGATGGAGAGCAGAGGGACTTTGTAAGCATATCAGCAGGTTGCTGATCTGTAGGAGTGTAATATACTTTTATTAAACCTTGCTCCTGATAGTCTCGTATGCATGAAAGCGTACA